ATGTCACATACTATTTATTTATTTAGATTTGGTTTTATTAACCTTTTGTTATTGCTCTAGTCAAAACTCCGCCTTTGCCGGTCCCAAGCCCGGTTGAAAAAGGAGGAGGGGGAGCAGTAACAAGATCATTAAAAAAACTGGGTTCAGCTGGCCCGGCTGATAGTACCCTGTAAGGGCTCCTAATCCAGGGATACAGGATGAGCAGCGTTTGTACTCCATGTTAGGAGCAGCTACACATGGTGTCTGTTCCTCATGTCAGAGGCGGCCATTTCTTTTGGAGCTAAATCGGCCTGCCACTGAGTAGTGCTCCCAGTCTTAATGACAAAGGCAGACGCTTTCTACTTCACCCAGATATGATTGAGTGGAGCTAAGAAAGAAGAAGAAGAAGACTAGTCAAATATTATATTCTTGTAGGGATAAATGATATTATGACACATGAGTGATTTTTATTATCCCATTGTACAATAATACAAGGTCATGGAGACTATAGTCATAGATAAAATTTACAATCTTGGTAGAGTTGGAATACAGGTCCTGTCTTGAGGCTTCCATACATTCCAAGAGGTGGTCTGGTGAGGTCTCTTTGGTCCTGTAGATGGTGTATTGTGGGATGGTCACTATTCTATATACAGTTACGAGCATCATTCCTCATCTCCTAATCTCCTAATCAATCATCTCTCTCTGTCACTGTAAGATCTCTTCTTACGTCCCATTTGAGGACATCTCTATTTTAATCCAGTCTAGCTCAGCATTAATTATTAACACATACACATAAAAATATAGTGCACACCAGAGGTTTACATGTGAATTGTTGTTATTTATGGATATAATAATACCAATACACTTTTAAAACATTGAATATTAAAATTTATTGATCTTCATGGAATTTACAAAATAATTTTTTTTTTTATTTATCATTGTGTAGCATGAGTAGGCAAAAAAAAAAAGGTTTAATTTCTTTTGCAAATTATAAAATTCCTATAAAAGAGAATTGACTGAGAATCTACAATTTGGTATTTCAACCAAGTTACCGCATCTAGATAAATTGATCAATCAAGATGACTAATAAAAAAATAAAGGATTTATATCTCTATTCACTATATATCTTAATAGTTGAATCTACCAAAAAATTACCATCTATCATGGTTATTACCATTCTTTCTACACGGACCTCTTTAGGTCTACAGATAAAAAAATATGATGTAGTTGGACTTACCAAATATTTCTCTATCTGCCATTCTCGAACTTGTCTTAGCCACTCCTAAGGCCCAGGACGTTCCGTTTTGGTCATCTTTCCCCGACAAAAACTCGATAAGAACTGTCGTTGTTTTTCAAACAACCCCGCGAGGTAAGTCCTCAATTTTACTACAGAGTAATAAAAATTAATTCCATAAATATTCTTAGAATATTTAATTTAAAAATAATATTATTATTTTTAAAAGAGAAAATTTTGAAACAAAAAATATAAAATTATCCTATGAGAAATTTATAATAATTTCTTCTTCAAGAAATAAAAATAACTAGACACACCCATTTTACCTAGCTATGTGAGTGATTGATTTTATTTCATTTTAGAATAAAATAAAATAATAAAGAAAAAATTAAATTATCCTTCTTATCAAGGGATAATTTAGATTAGTAATAAAATTAAGTAAAAACAAACATGTTTGCCCCTCTGAGAAATTTACATAATAATTTCTTCTTTAAGAAATTTAAAAAATAGGGAATATGTCCAATCTATCTGGATGTGCTAGTAATTGGCCTTTATTCATTTTTAGAATAAAGAAAATAAATTTAGGGAATTTTTGAAATGGTAATGTAACCCTTTTGGGTGTTTCATATTGCATAAAAAGAAAGGTGATTGGGATTAGATAATATATACACATGTACATAGTTTGTAGATCCTCCGCTGGACCTTTCTGCAATGGGCTCCAGGATCCTTGGGCAGGACCCGTGTCATCTCCAGGCATAGGTATCATCTCCAGCCTTCTGGACCTTAATGGCGTAGTTGTCATCTCTCGCTGGGCATCTTCTCCGGCTTCTGGTGTAGATCCTCCGCTGGACCTCTCTGCAATGGGCTCCAGGATCCTTGGGCAGGACCCGTGTCATCTCCAGGCATAGGTATCGTCTCCAGCCTTCTGGACCTTAATGGCATAGTTGTCATCTCTCGCTGGGCATCTTCTCCGACTTCTGGTGTAGATCCTCTGCTGGACCTCTCTGCAATGGGCTCCAGGATCCTTGGGCAGGACCCGTGTCATCTCCAAGCATAGGTATCGTCTCCAGCCTTCTGGACCTTAATGGCATAGTTGTCATCTCTCGCTGGGCATCTTCTCCGGCTTCTGGTGTAGATCCTCCGCTGGACCCCTCTGCAATGGGCTCCAGGATCCTTGGGCAGGACCCGTGTCATCTCCACCTTTCTGGACTTTAAAGGCATAGGTATCATCTCCAGCCTTCTGGACCTTAATGGCATAGGTGCCATCTCCAGCTTGGTGTCTTCATTCTCCAATCCGCCTCGTTGTTGTCATTTTGTGGAGGGTCGGCCGGTATCTCGGTCACGGTACCACCAGCGTCACCTCCGATTGAGTGTCCTCCCCTGCCTCGACCTTTAGAGCACCGTCGGCCACAGTGGTGGGACTTCCATCTGGACAACAAACATTCCGGCAAGACACTGTGTATATACAGGGTGTACCAGGTAAATTGGGAATTTCAACAATGGTATTTTAACTGAAATTTTTTGCAAGTAAAAATTAAAATATCCGAATGAAATTTGACACAGTAGTAGATAAAAGGATATAGTTTTTATTTATTCAATGTAGTTTCCATTATTAGCTACAACAGTCTCGAGGCGAGTGCGGAATGAAGCACAGGCCTTGGCGACGATGACCTTGTCCATTTGGGTCATCACCGTGTGAACTGCTTTCTTGACAGACTGGATGGTGGTATGAGGAGCTTTGTTGACATCTCTCTCAACAACGCCCCATACATAGTAGTCGAGGGGGATTGCAATCTGGAGAATTAGGGGGCCAAATATCAGGACCCCAGTGACTAGGGACGTTAAGTGTCAGCCACGATTGTGTCTTTTTTGCCTTATGGGCTGGAGCTGAGTCCTGTTGGAAGACATACTTCCTTCCTGCGGCCACCATGTCCATCCAAGGCTTCACAACGGTCTCCAGAACATTGATGTAGGTGTCAGCGTTCATCCTAAGGCCCTTCTCAAAGAAATGGGGAGGCATGACATCACCTTCACTGCTGATAACGCCAAGGACCATTACGAAGGCAGGGAATTTCGTGTGCATCACGACAGGTATCTCTGAGGGGTCTTTACAGATCCAGCGATCATTCCTGGGATTTACCTTTTGGTCCACGTCAAGTTCTTTTCGTCAGAGAAGAACCTTAGCATGCCAAAAGAGTCGTGTTTCAGGTTGTTGAGGAGGGCAGCAGCCTTTCCGTTTCTGTTATTCTTCATATTCTCAGTCAGCAACTGACCTTTCCGAAGGGCATAAGACTTGAGACCAAGGTCCTCATGGATAGTTCTGACAATTGTCATAGAGCCAACGTCCATTTCCTTGGCTATGGCCCTCATGCTCTTCCCAGGGTTTCCATCAATCTTCTCCTTGACATTTTTGACAAATTCTTCGCCTCTTACCCTGTCCGATCGACGCGAGTGCTTTTTCCTTGTAGCTATCCCCTCTTTGTTACTGTCGGCCTCATCAAACTGCTTCATGACACGATAAATAGTGGTTTTGGGCAACTTAAGAAAATCCACTATCTCTTTGGGGCTCCTTCCGGCGCGCAGAGCAACGATGATGGCAGCTCGATTTTCAAATTCTCGGTTACTCTTCATCACTACACTGCGCACACATGTACTGTTGCATTTTACATGAATATGGCTACGTAATGAAAAAAAAACAAACAAGTTTTTAATCTCAAGTAGTTTTTGTTTTATGGACTGTCAAAGTTAGTCCCAATTTACCTGGTACACCCTGTATATATGATGTAAATGTTTACATCATTGTTGGGTCTTATTTTGTGGAAAATCTGGCCCAACATCACCGTTTGCTTTTTTTTTTGGAATGGCGCCCTTTTATTGGCTGGCTACGTTCACGCCACCTTTGCCCCCCCCCCCTCGCTATTTATGTAACTATTGTGTTGGAGCGACTCGCTCCCTAAATAAATGCATATATTAGATAATAACCAAATGGAATCCTCTCTTTCTTTTTCCCAGTAAGAAACGCCTACGGAAGCCAACAGTACATAGACAGATAAAGCACATAGGCTATAGTTATTAACTAACATATGCATTTATTTAAGGCGCCAATTTATAATTGTAACAAATAGTATTTGAATCAAAACATTCAATCGGGTTAAACACGGGCGTTGCCCGGGTCATTCGGCTAGTCTATATATATAAAATTGAATGTCTGTCTGTCTGTTTGTTTGTTTGTTTGTACTCTATAGATTCAAAAACCATACATCCAATCGCCGTGAAATTTTGGGATATTATTAGGTATATCACCGGGAAGGTTTTTGAAAAATAATTTCATGAATATCTTGAATATCCTTAGAGTTACTTGCAGATTTGTAGATTTAACTCGCAAGCAGCGCCCCCATTGTGACGATGATAACAAGTTTTCTTATCACTAAGTTTGTTATCTTAAACATTATTTATCAAAAGTAAGATTATCTCAGGATGACACGGCAATGTGACACGGGAAAAAATGTTCACTAGATAAAACTATGATTTTCTATCCTCATATATATAAAAATGAAATGCGAAATCGATGTTTGTTATCGCATCACGCAAAATCTACTGACTCAATCATTATGGAATTTCGCATGTAGGTAGCTGAAGATTTCGTTTAACATATAGGCTATTCAAAAAACTAAAAAAGTTAATGTGCTTTTTTTAAAAAATAAAAAACCAAAATGCGTTAGTTCCAGTTTATTACCGCTAGGGCGCAGCACTGGTCGCGACGATAAATGAATTTGATTTTTTTAAAGCATCGGTGGTTCAGTGGTAGAATGCTCGCCTGCCACGCGGGCGGCCAGGGTTCAATTCCTGGCCGATGCATTTTTTTTTAAACAATTTTAAAACTTATTTATATTATATCTATATTAATAAAATGCAAATTTCATAAGTGGGGTTTGCTAAAAACTTTCGTTACAATGCATCAATTTTGACCAAATTTTCAACATTTATGTAAAACGAGATGGAGCAGGTTTTGCTTAACATCAAAATATTTTTCCTAACTTTAACATGCGTAACTTCGCTGTTATCAATTAAATACAAAAAAATCAACAGAGTTAATTTTATTTATATATAAATACAAAAAAAAAATTCAGCAATTCATTCAACTCAATCTAAAAAAAAATTCAAAACAAGCAATTTTAAGATAACACCATATGTAAAACATTCGGCCAAGAAAACAACAACGATATTACATCTTTCTCACATATTCACACACAATCTTGATTAATAATTAAAACTAATATTTAACATTGTTTATTATACTTCATAATATATAATATTCGTTAGGCAAACTTTCACTCGGATAAAACCCGGGCGAAGCCGGGTACACATCCGCTAGTCTGTTATAATTGAAACTATTTTAGACATGTATGATTCTTTTTTAACAAATAAATAATTTTCTACTGCCTTTACTGAAACGATAAATTAATGGGTGGGTTCACTACTGATGAGCCAGGCCCTCCCATTACTTTATAATTGCAGTAAAGAGATAGAGAGAGAGAGAGAAGTAGTAGAAAGTTATTTAAAAAAGAGTCGTATGCGTCTAAAATAGTTTCAATTACTTATATAAACGGTAATGTTGCAATCTTTTTATTAAAGGAATTATAGAAGATTTTAAAACAAGGTAATAAGACCAAATCCAAATAAATAGTGTGTGACGTTTCGGTAACGGTGTTGTTACCATCTTCAGACAAAAGTACTGAATGTACTTTTATATATGATTATATTAAAAATGGCATATCCTGACCAGGAGCACATGTGCTTTTCAGAAGGCAAACCGCCATCTGGTGGAACAGAAATCAACTATTCATTGATTTAGCCTGTTCCCTGATATTTGGCCAACCCAATTTCTTGATAAATCAAGAAAAGCCATCCACGAACGCGTTTCGCGCTTTTGGCGCTCGTCAGCGTGGAGTAGGCTGAACCATTGCGACCAAAAAATAATTTTTGATCCCAATGGCTTCCTGAAAAACCAAGAAATGGGTATTTAAGGCCAAACTTGCGTAAATACGCTTAGCACATTAAAAAACGAAAGAAAAAAATAAAAGATAAAAAGATCAGGTGTTGAAATCAATATTAAAAATGGCATATCCTGACCAGGAGCACATGTGCTTTTCAGAAGGCAGAGCGCCATCTGGTGGAACAGAAATCAACTAGTTGATTTCTGTTCCACCAGATGGCGCTCTGCCTTCTGAAAAGCACATGTGCTCCTGGTCAGGATATGCCATTTTTAATATTGATTTCAACACCTGATCTTTTTATCTTTTATTTTTTTCTTTCGTTTTTTAATATGATTATATATAAGTACTTTTGTCTGAAGATGGTAACAATGCTGAAACGTCACACACTATTTATTTATTTGGATTTGGTCTTATTACCTTATTTTATAATCTATAATCCAAAGATAGAAGATTTTGGGTAAATTCTTTTTAATGATGATATGTTGATATTGTAACATCTGACTCCCTTCTTCACAAGAGCCAAGACAACATGGATGGTAGACAAGCAAGTCCTACTGGCCATGGGAGGTTGACATTGAAAAGATGGGTTTGTGGGTGGGATACTAAGTGGAAGCTGTGGCAGAAGGATGTTTATCTTCTTGAATATAAAAAGTTTCATGAGCAGAGAATTATGAGGCTTTTTTTTAAAATTTTGCCACGTGGAAAATTAGGGAAGACAAAAACTTCAGGAGGAGACAACAATTTATTTCAGGCAAGGACAAACTATGAATGGTAAACAAAAGATAAGCCACGAGGGAAATTTACAGAGGAGCATAATATAAACATAAAAATGACCACTTTGTTAATAAAAATAATAAAATTAATAAATACTTTGTTACAATATTTTACTTCAATTTAAAGCGCTATGTACCTATAGGAACACTTGCACTGTCATACATGTATGTTTCTACAGTTGTCAATACATATTTACAATAATTTTAAACCGTATGATATCAAATGATATTAACAAGGAGAAAGAAAGAAAGAAAAAAACATTGTCACAAATATTTACAACAAAATTGTTCATTTATCATTATTTTTAAAAGAGAAGAAGAAAAAAAAAAAGATTTTTATCTAAGAGAATTTAAACATTCTAAGAGAGGACAAATGAAATTCCTAAACCTTAACGTGAACAGAGAATGATGTACAAAACATTAAAGAGATTTCTGGCAGAAGTTTGTATTATGTATAAAAGAAACATTCGTGCTTTTAAATCCTTTCATTTTATATCTATAGATGGCGCGTTTTTGCTTTGTGTTAATTTATGTCTAACGGGCCTTGTCTTTATTGTTTGCGGAAGAGCATTGCTCGACGCAAATATTTGAATGTAATTCTACTGTCCTATAAGCTTATGTCCATAGTTATCTTGAAAACCATTTCAAAGATTCCATCCTTCAGTGCTGCGTATATAAGCAGAATCGTCCAATACAGTAAGTAGAAGGCGGAATAATTGTCATCGTCCAATACAGTAAGCAAGTCCAAGATCATAGAGGTCCTCAGAACAAGAGGATCAGATTACAAGAGCAAGAATTTCGCACAGAGAAATTTCCAAAAAAATAAATTGTTTACGTGAAATTCGCAGTTGATCCCCAGAAAACAAATACCATCAAGAACCGGATGGATTCATTCCCTCAGAAGTGGAAAAAATTCCAGTATCAGAATAATCCTCAGAACAAGATTATCAATCTAAAAGAAACACAAATGTCCACAAAGGAATCCGCACAAAAATAAGTTGTTCACTTGAAGCTTGAAGATAATACACAGAAGAACAACATCAAAGAACAGTTGGGTCCTTCATCTCAGGAGAATGAGCAAGTTAAGGAACAGAATGGTCAACAGAACAAGATTATCAACCTACAAGAACAACAAATATCCACAAAAGAATCTTCAAAAAAGATGTTGATAAAATTGAGTCTGAAGATATAGATGAGGACTTAAAGGATTTATTAGAGGACACGGACATGGAGGACGATTCCGACTTCGAAGAGAATATGGAATGGGATGAATTGCTTCTTTAAAGGATGTAAACCAGAACTATTTTTTAAAAAATGTAATAAAATACTTATATATATTATAAAAGTCTATAATATATATTGGTATATATTTAGTTTAACTTAAATACTGTATATATTTTTTATATATTTGTTTAACATTTAAATACATGTTTATAGGGGGTAGGGGTTGACACTTTATAAAAACATTTAAAATTTTCCAATATTTGACTCTTTTCCTTTTGATTTAGCCTTACAAAAGTACTTATCAACTGAGAGAATGACAGGTTCTGGATTATACACTATCATTAAAATTTGATAGTTCTTGGTGAAGCGGCCATTATAATTTATTATTAAACTTGCGAAACAGCTGGGAGGGTTCACCACTGATGAGTCAGGCCCTCCCATTAATTTTTCCATTGCATTAAGGGCAGTAAAATTGTTTAATTTTTAAAAGAAGCATACGCGTCTATAATAGTTTAGAATTTTCATAACAGATGGCTAGCTAATACATCATTATAATTTATAAATTCGTGTATATTTTAATAATAGACCGTTTGTTGTTAAATAAAGTTTGTTTCTACTTACCTCTTTTGGCATCCATTTTATAAACTCAATAAAACCAAACCTATGCGTCTTATCTACTGACAGGGAAAAAAGGCATAAATATAACCCCAAAATAAGCATAAACAACCAAATAATTGATAAAATTAGAGATCCAAAATACCCAGGTGTGATACTGCAGTCCTGGATCTTTCCAGTTGGTCTCGAGGGCCACGCCATCACCATCTCCTCAGCGTGAAGTATGCGATCTACGTATTCATCGTAGATCGCAAAATGCGTGGTGTCGCTGGAGACCCACTGGCGATTCTCCACCAAACTTTGCAGTGCTGGCAGAGGCGCCATATTCATTGTACATGGTGTATATTATGCATATTATATATTTTTTGAATAGTACAGACTGTGCACTTTGCATGTATTGACAAGATGTCAACAAAATTATTTTAATTGTAAATGATGAGGAATTGCGATTTACAGAACACATAATTAGCTCCTCAAATAGAGCTACCAGAAAACTAAACATTCTGAGATGGCTATGTGGAACAAATTGAGAGCAAAACCCAAAATTCTCAGAACAACATATATCACCTTAATAAGGCCAATAATGGAATATGCAACACCTGTCTGGGCTCCCTCAAGTTCATCACTAAAAAGAAGACTAGACAGTGTTCAAGCAAAAGCGGCCAAATTAATCACTGGTGCTGTTTCATTCACCAACAATGAGAAAATTCAGAGAGAATGTGGTCTAGACCTACTTGCTCGAAAGCAGAAGACAAAATAAAAACAATAAAATTCACCAATAGCTTAAAAAGTAAAGAAACCTAGCACATATCCCATAAAACCTATTTAAACTGGACACAAAAAGAAAGACTCAAAAGATCTTCAACACTTCAGTACGACAACAATATTAAAAAGGGCATAAATATGAAACACAATGACTTTCACATTCAAGAAGAACCAATATTTCCTATCCCATTGCCATTAAATGTAATCACCAATCTTAACTTGAATGAACCCCGCACAAAAAAAAAAAAAAAAAGAGAACAAAAATATACTTAATAAGAAAGGACTTGACACAATTGGTTTAAACGATCAGAGAAATTATTTGTTGTTGTTGTTTCTTATCCCCCCTTGTGTAAAGTTTACACGAATTCCATGAGTTCATGCTCCTCGAGCTGTTTTATGATAAGCAGCGGCCTCTCCCAAAGGTCCTGTTTAGTGCATCTAATGCAAGCCACAATGTCTTCTGGAGCTGCAGGTGCCAAGCTAC